GTCTCATGAATGGTCAGGTTGTAAAATTGAGAAAGGAGATCACATGGTGTGATTCTCTGGTGCTTGATTACAATTTGTTGATCAACCATAAAATGAAGTAAAATAATATCAGTAGGAGACCATCATTTTGAGGGATTCTTCCAAATTCCACTAAAGTACATTCCCCGTATTAGTTATTTCTATGGTTTTAAAGATACAATTTCAAAATGAAATTGTGGTATAAGTGACAACGCACCATAACATTAAAGATACAAGTTAGTCTATATCTTAAAAGAATTTGTACGAAAAATGTATATATACAAACTAAATTGTACCATAACGTTAAAAGTACTCGTTCAGTTTGTACTATAAAAGTTTTTTTTGTAAACAAAAACATCGATGCTATGAAAAGTGAAGAAAAAATAATTATTACGGAAACACGAATTTGATTAAGTGATTTTTAACATCGAACTTTAAATTCGAAGATTCTGACTCCAAGATTCGTAACGAACAACCTCCCCATTCATTCCCTTAAAAATGCACATAATTAAGAAGAGATAAAGGGACTCGACCCATATATTGTATTTACTATTTAGCATACATTAATATAGTTCTGCCGGTGGATATGGTTCATGTATGTTTTAAGTGGTCAGTTATTATGTCATTATCGAAGAGGGGAAAAGAAGGAATCAGAAGTGAATCAAATGATATATAGTAAGCTTCCTTCCAAACCCATTGATTAAATTTAGTTTAGCAATTTGTTAAATGGAATTTGATTAACAAAGATTAGATAGGCAGCAGGAAGCCTGTGCCAGTGACAGCAAGACCATGGATATTCTCCAGTTTGTTGGATAAAACGCGGTCGTTGAAGAAGGGATTATTGTGCAGTGTGGACTTTACAAAATTAAATATATAAACAGAACAATTATTTGCATCACGAAGTCGACAAGGTGACTTTTCCCTCGTTTGATTGTTAAACGGGGAATCCTATTGCGGCAGGTGAGAAGGGTTCCTCTCTTCCCCCAATCTTTGCCGCCAATCACTCAAATATTTGATTATGTTCACCTGTTTTATGAGGCGATATTTACTTTATGCATAAGACATGTTTCCAACATGATAATTACTTATTTAGGTTACGTTTAATGTAGTTTTGTTGTTGTAGTTGCAGTATAGTTGATTTACGATAATAGAACCACAAATACAAATATACAATAGCATGAAAAGAAAAAAAAACAAACACAGAAACATGTTTAATTGGTATTTTTGAGAAATCATGGAAGTTGACAGTAAGAAATGTGTTCAGTTACTTTTTTTTAGCTCTTGTTTAGTATCAAGTATCAACATTGAGACTAATACACAAATATGATATAATGGGAGGGCTAATGCGGCATGAGTTACGAGAAAAGTGTGAGAAAAAAGTATATACAAATAATATTGTAAATAAACTTTCGGTGATGAGTTATGCTATAATGGAGAGGAAAATTAAGTAGAAAGTGAGTCTAGTAGTAAGATTTGGTCATAGACATTATTGAATAAAATTATTCCAACAACTAATAGAATCTTACAAGAAACAATAATGAAGCTACTTAAAGTAGTTAACTTAGTTTTGTAATTCTGTTGTGTTGTCAACTCATATTGCCACAACAACATATAAAAATAAAACTAAAATGTTTTCATAATCTATTTTTTTTTATAATGGTGAATTTCATCATCTGTTTTTACCCGTGAGAAAAAAAGCTAGAAATCCTTTTTTTGTTTTTTTTGGTGGGAGCTAGAAATCCTTTTTGGTTTCCTACGTACAAATATCTTCACCTGCTATAAAAAAAAAAATTCCACATTAGAGAGATTTACATAAAATCATATGAGGAATTTCACTGATCGATATACTAACATTGGTATCCTCTCTCTTACAAAAAAAAAAAAAAAACTGTTATCCTCCCTATGTCTATTTTGTGGTCCTAATTTTGAGTTTATTTAGGTTTAATAATAAATAAAATCCAGGGTACATCTTTATCCACAACGGAAACTCCAACTCTTTCCATTAACGGAATTATATACCTACAATTGCTATAATAATAATCATAAAAATCAATCTTCCATTTGAAATGAACCGATGATATTCCATTCCTGTTGACCGATGAGTTATATATAATTTATCAATTAAGTACAATAAAATTATTTTTAGTGTAGGTTTTGTTGACCGATGAGTTATATATAATTTATCAATTAAGTAGTAAAAATTATTTTTAGTGTAGGTTTGATCGACCAATTAAACCAATAAAATGTGAGCCATCCACGATTTGTATTATGATTCGGTTTTGACAATTTTAATGATAAACACACAACCTCTCTATTCTTCCTTGGGTTGAGGGAAAAACACTCAAACTATCTCTTCGTTTTTCTTTCGTAGTCCCCTTCTCTTCGTAAGAGTTTCTCTCTTTTAGAAACCTTAATTTTAGTCCAATTTAAGTTGAAGAAATTAGAGCATATTAGCTACTAATAAAGGGTGAGGCTAACATATAAGCTAGACTTGTGATGAACTCCCACTAACATTAGTTACAGTTTGGTTGAAGCTTCCCCGCAAACTAGATTAGTCAAGTTGACTAAACTATCAATCAGGTTGATCACATTGTTAGTTAATTAGGTCGAGCACAAGGGTAGTTAGCTCAACCACATTGTCAATAAGATTGATTAGATTGACTATTTCCACTTCAATAAAATTATAGATGATTAGTTATGTAGAGCTTTAAACAAGTTTCTCTACATCTAGCTTGGTAGATACATTAGAGACTCTCGAAGTGGGAAGGATGAACATAATACGATAACAATGAAGAAGCATAAATATAAAATTAATTATGCTGACCAACAAGGTTATTTATTGATAGCTTGCATCAAGAATTTATAAAAAAAAAATAAATTTTGAAATTCTAAACCTTATAACCTTAATCCATAGTTCGTAGACCACTATAACTTCTAACGAACCCTATATCGCAAATAGTGAAACCCTAATCCCTACATCCTTGAACACCCAAAAACATGAAACTCCATAATTCTGAATCATAAACTCTAAACCCTAGTACCAAAAACATTGAACGCTAACTCTTGAACCCCCAAAATACTAAGACCCTAAATCTAGACTAAATCCTAACTCTAAACCTCTAACCCTTGAACCCTTTACTCTTGAAAGCTAACGCTCAGCCTTAAAACTTAGGCTCAACTCTTTCTAAATGATTAGCATGCTCGAAAACGCTACAATACATTAGGATACAACTTACAATACATAATTCGCTCAATTGCTTTTTTACTTTTGATCAGTTGATTTTGCAACCAAGGCTTATGTATACCTCAGAACTAGTGTAATTTAATCAAATTAATTTTATGGGTTTATCCATCCCGTATAAAAGGGGTTAGGTCTAAAGTTCCCCATGAACAAAATTAACCTCAATAACTGAAACTCGACCCATGATTTTACATTCATGCTACTTCGATGCCATCGTTATTATGATCATCATCCTTACACTACAAATCTAACCTATCACCGGTATTCACCACTAGTTATCTATAGAAATGGTCAATCTTTCCAACTTCCCCATTAATCTTAATTTGATATTGTGGTCAACCTAAACAAAAATCTAGATGACCTAATTGCCAATATAGTTGTTTCACGAATCCCCGTGGTCGTCGATAGAAAGATCTCCCACCAAACTTCCAACAAGACTACTTCACAATCACAAGTACGTTTAATATTATCAAAACTCATTTCATAAAAAAAAGCATGGGAGTGAGTGAGCCCCGAGTGTGAAAGGGATCGAAGTAATTAACAACAAATGCGGCGTTTTAAAAAAAAGAAGAGACATGTTTGTTGGCTGTGGAATATATACGGTGAGACGGAGACGGCGCGTTTCTTCGATCGGGAATGGATGGGAAAATTAGAGTGTAATGATACGGAGGGTTGAAGAATGCAGAAAACCAAAGCAAAGATTTGGAACCACAGTGCGCTCAAGCACCAAATCTTTCTTTTCTACACCGACTCTCCCCACTGGCCCGCCACCTTTTCTTCCCCATTTTTTTCCCCTCTCATTCTCTTGTGCTTGTATAATATGAGTAATTTCTGGATTAATATGCTGCTCTTTTCTTTGGCCTTGCTTAATTGCTTTTGCTTGTACAAGGTCTAAGCTAGGAGTTTGGTATATGTCATGATCATTGGACGCAGCCAAGCTTGTTGACAAGTGTTCATAACTTCCCGTAAACGGACCGTGCCTATTCAGCGAAAGTGTTTGATTTGGGAGGTTTGTCGTTCGACTCGTAAAAATAGCAAGAGTTTTAGAAGCATGTATTATTACCCGGCTCCTTTCATTTTTTTTTTATATAGTTTTGATAACATTTTAATTGAGGATATATGCTTTAAATATTTTTTTTATAAGGGTGATATATAAGTATGTTTTTATAGTTGCTGCTGGAGAATTTTAATCTGGAATCTCCTAGAAACATGCCCAGTGATAGTACCACTAGACACTAGACCAAACACTTGTTTGCATTCACAATTAGATACCATTGTATTTTTGAGAACTTAATTACATATATCTTATTGTGAACTTATTAATTACATTTTAATAAGAAGGGAATGTGTAATCTCATGATTCCATAAATAATACATGTTAGTCACTTGTAGATCATGAATTTGAAAAAAACCCATATGTTATTTTTTATATAGCAAAAACCTCATGTTCACCTAATTATAATATCCTGAGCCAATCATTCTTCTACAACACAGGAACTCACCAGAAAGAAACCACTACATATTCTGAGCCAGCATACACAGAGAAAGATATCTCTACTGTTTGCTTATAATGACATTGGCGGCCATTGGCGAGTACACTGAATCACCCAAAATGCAATGATGATCATCATTATTCATTATCATCATGACAGATGCACATATATAATGGAGTAGCAAGCTATCTAGTCTAGCTAACTAGGCAGGCAGGCAAGCATATGATCATCATGAAATATATAATAATTATAATTATAATAATAATTCAATTATCGACCACATTAATTTTTATATATATGGTATCATATCATATCATGATAATGATGCCTTAGATGAATGAATCCATAATGAACGGAGAAGGAGTAAAGAAAATCTAAAACGAAATCAGCACCACCAATTTCTCCGCGACTTTCCCCAACCACTACTATTCCCAAAGATTTCCTCACAAATATTTTTCTCCATATAATAAATCATTCATAATATTAATAATCGTCGAAGTCGTCCGTTTCAAATAATAATTTAATTTAATTAACAATATACATCTTAGCAAGCTAATTAGAACGACTGCAGTACCTTCGCCTCTGATCAAACATTCTGATGGTGTAGAATAAACTCCGTCGCGTCGTTGTTGTTGTTGTTGCTGTTCCCCATCTCACGGTCTGGATTGCGGACGTCATCAATGGCGGCAGGCGGGGGGACCCTATCTCCCCAATCCCCGCCGCTGCCCATCATCGTCGTCGTCCCGATCTGATGATCGTTGCCGATCATCGACGATTGGGGCTTGAGCGAGTGGTGGAGATCATTGGATTGAAGCAGCGACTGAAGCGACAGCATCTGGTTCATCATCATGTTCTGCGCCGATGGTCCCAGCTGGAAATTCCCCGCGGAGGGGAGATCGCTGCTGGTGGCGGCGGTGGTGTTGTTGGGTTGGGAGGAGGCTAATAATGAGGACGATGATGGGAGGTGATTGTGAAGCTTGTGGGGCGCGGGGCGGAGCGGGTAGATCATGGAGTCGAACCCGGAGCGGAGAGCGGCGGAGGAGGAGGAGGAGGAGCCGAAGAGGTCGAGGCGGGAGTAAGGGGAGGCGGCGGAGAAAGGCGGGGCGGGGATGCCGGTGAACTCCTGCACCATGGCGCGGAAATTGGAGGTGTCCGTGGTGAGGACGGTGGTGGGCGCCCGCCTCGACGCCCGGGTCCGTTTCTTCGGGTTCCGGGTCGACCCGTGGGCGGTGGTGGTGGTGGTGGTGGTACTAGTAGTACTGCTCTGCTGCTGCTGATTATGATGATCATTATTGTTATTAATGGCCGCAGCAGCAGCAGGAGGAGGATTGGCGTGCGGGAGTGAAGAAGCAGAAGGTGATGATGGTTGTTGAGCAAGCATGGTGTGGTCAGATCTGAGGAATTGATGGTGGTGGTGGTGGGAGGAAGAGGGGACCATGTCGAGGTTGAGGAATGATGGGTTTTCCGGCGGCGTCGGAGGAGATGACTGATGTTGATGTTGTTGTTGTTGGTGGTGGTGGTGGTGATTGGGGAAGGGATGGAAGAAGTTTTGGGATGGGTCGAATAGAGATGTTTGGTGGTGGTGGGAGAAGAGAAGGGGATTTGGGTTTTGTTGATTTGAGGAGAACGGATTCAGGAAATTTAGTGATGCCTGCTGCTGCTGCTGATGATGTTGTTGGTGTTGTAGTTGCAGCGACGGCGGCGGCGGCGGCGGAGGAGGAGGTCTGGGTCTTGAATCGTACTCTTCTTCGTCTCCGCCGCTGGCGGAGGATTGCAAGCTGCTGTTGCCAGATGAATCCATTTTTCCCAGCTCTGTAAAAAAAGAGGAGAAGAGTAATAATACACAGAGGAAGATGTGATTTTATTGTTAAAAGAAGAAGGGGGAGAGACAGCCCATGAAGCTAAGAAGAGGTGGAATTGAGTAGATTACCAGAAGCTATAGTTAGTAGCAGGAAGGATGAGAAATTGGGAATCGAAGACCGCGACCGGCCACTTGCTTTTTTAGCAGCTTTTCTTCTTTTTTCTTTCTCCCACTTTGCTTGCTTCCTTTCCAATTGCCTCTATTCTATTCTGTTCTGTGCTGGTCTTTTTTGGATGGATGAGGGTGATCAGCTTTTTTAGACTAGAAAGAAGGGGGTGAAAAAGCTGCTTCCCATATCCATCAGAAAATATATGGTTTCAGTCCTCCACTTCTCTGTGATCTGCTACTGCAAGTCCCTCTGCTCTCTCTTCAGCTACACAAATATAGCCGAATGGGTAAAGCTACTACCTAGAGCTACACCTAGCCATTATTGTGTACGAACCCAAGCAAGCAGCAGAAGAACTGGGTTTGATATAGCTTTTTGTGGCTCTACTCTACGGAGGAGAGCAGGAAAAGAAATGGAAGCAGCAGAAAGAGGGTATGGGGGGAGGCGAATGGGGAAATAAAGATCTCAGGAAAAAGATGGCTTCTTTTAGCTTCCAACCCTTTTTCACTACTTACCCATCCCTTTTCTCCTGTTCTCCATCTCTTTTGCCTTGCAGGGAAGGGAAGGGATTAGGGTTTTGGAGCAGAGAAAGGGCGAAAAGGAAGAGGAGAAAGAAAGAAAGAGAGAGAGAGGGAGCAGAGGGGGGATATTAAAATTAATATTATTAACTCTATATATTTTGTTTGGTTTGGTGGTTCGCATTTTTGGGTGCTATTCCAACGAAAAGCTAAGCTACCCACAGAGAGAGAGAGAGAGAGGAAAAAGAAGAAGAAGAAGAGGGGGATGAACAACTCCCAACGACAACAGATGTTGGCACTAAGAAGAAGATCCAGAGAGGGCAGGGAAGGGACAGTGGTGGTGTGGGAGACGATATGATGATGATGACGATGATGATGATATCTTCTTCGCTCTATGAAATTTGAGTACTACTACCAGCAGTAATACTAATATGCAGTGGGACCCCATGAGAGTGAAATGTAGAGAGAGACGGAGATTAGATAGATAGATGGACGGAAAATTGGGGGAGATAGAGAGAGAAAGTTTGGTGTTGCTGGTGGCTGCCAATGGGTCACTCAACTCGATAGGAGAGAGAGAGAGAGAAAAGAGGGAAAAAATAATAAAATGAGGGGTTGCTTCATTTGGCTTCACACCACTTTTACTACGATCTAATATGAGCACATAATAAAAATAAACACCTAACCCAAACATGGTTAAATGATAGGTTAATTTCATATTTGATCACCGAGATAGTTATATTTAGTTACTGGAAAAAAAATAAAATTAATTTTGGTTACTCGAATTACTAGTACATGTCACATTTAGTCACTCGAATTACTTTTTTTTTTATGAATGTCACTCGAATTACTGAAACATGGGCCAAGATCAGGTGACTAAGGGGGATCCCTGGGTCACATGACTAAGTGAATCTTAGCCCTTCAAGCTCATTAAAATCTAATGGCTTAGATTAATCCAATTTAATGAAGGACAATATAGTAATTGCATGATTTTATTAATTTTCAATTATTAATTAATTAAGAAAACAATTCCCCGCCGCCGTTGCTGGGAAATCCCCGCCGCCGGCCATTTTGCTGGGAACTTTCCCCAATCCCACCAATGCAACGAACGAGAGAGAGAGAGAGATCACCGCCGACCCAAATTTGCCGGCCAATTAAAAGTCTCCACAGGCCAAAAAAAAGTCCCTGGCCACATTTTTTTTAGTCCCAGGCTACCATTTTTTGTGTGGCCCCGAGAGAGAGGGGGAGAGAGAGAGAGTTTTCCGGCGACCGGAGGAAATTTTCCGGCGACAGTGTTGGATTTGTGATGTTTGCTGACCTATTTTGTAATGTTTGTATAGATTTGGTTTGTATTGTTTGTCATTTTTAGTGACATTTTGTACGGTTAGTATGCTTTGTACTGTTTGTCGATTTATTTTGTAATGTTTGTACGCTTTGTTATTTTGTAATGGTTGTCGGGTGTTTTTGTAATGTTTGTAAACTTTGTTATTTTTGTGCACCATGTTTATCATTTTTGTCAACCATGTTTGTAATGTTTTTTATGTATAAAAAACAACTTGGTTGACTTTTGGATGGAACCCCTCTATATAGGGATGGAGCCTCCAAAGTCAACCCGGGTGTTTTTTCTAGTTCGTATGGATTGTCGGTCTAGTTTGTCATTTTTGTCCACCATGTTCGTAATGTTTGTATGTCTAAAAAATAACCGGGTTAACTTTGAGACGGAACCCTCTATATAGGGATGAAGCCTCCAAAGTCAACCCGGGTGTTTTTCTAGACCAAAAATTCATACAAACTAGAAAAACACCCGGGTTGACTTTGGGAAGGAGCCCCTCTATATAGGGATGGAGCCTCCAAAGTCAACCTGGTTGTTTTTTCTTTTTGTATGGTTTGTATTTTTTGTCGGTCTAGTTTGTATTTTTTGTACAGTTCATATGTTTGTAATGTTTGTAAATCTGTTTGTATGTTTTGTCGCTCTAGTTTGTACTGTTCGTATGTTTGTATGGTTTGTACTGATTGTAAGCCCGGTTTGTATACTTCGTAATTTTCCATAATACCCAAACTACCCCTGTCATTAATTAAATAGCCCTTCCCACTTTTTAACCATCAGATTGCTATATCCAGATCTAAGGGCTGGGAGGGGCTTAGATGACGTTTCTGAGGGTTTGTGCAAAACCGAGGCCAAATGAGTTGATGACTGTAGTATGTCGCAAAAAAGTAATTATAAACCTAACCAACTCTAGCAATGTATTTATTTGGATCAACTAGTAGTGGTCCAAAGGTTCTTCGGATGGGTTGAGGACTTGAGGTTCCCGAGTGTTGTGTGTACTATGCAGGAAAGTAAAAGCAATAGCCGAAAGCAGTTGGAAAGGCAGAGTAAAATGTATGTTGTTTGGGTTGGTTTCACCTAGTGATACCAATTATGATTTCTCATCTATCATAGAACAATCATCGATTATTCTTCAATTCCAATGCATGCGAGAGGTCTCTTCTACCATGCATTGGTTCTTCGAAATACAAATTAACTATTATGCATGAGTGATTTCTCGTATGTCATGCATGAATAGACGAGGTAGACAAGCACGAGTGATGAATCACAAGCGTCTACCCAACTTTGCAATGTGGGGGTGTTTAGCTCGCCACAAAGAAGGAGTGCCGAGATGGCTACTACTCTTATCTTGTGTGAGTCTAAACTAGTAAAGTTTAAGATCACGGAACCGATCGCATTTGATCACAAAATGGAGAGACTTTTGACCTTTTGAGATCAAAGATGCCTTTATTATAAGACTCAAGCCTCTTAATTATACTAAGTCCCCAAGGCCTAAAACCCTAGTGCTAACTGACATTACACAGGGTTTACCCATGCATATTAAAACTAGGACTCTTATTTCTTGTCTTACACGACAAAGGAAAGCTTCTAGAGTTGCGGTGAGGTTATCAGCAGTCTTGGATCGTGATCCTCACGCCATCAAAACATGCTTCAACTTGGTCCACATATCTTTCTTGGATTCATGGGCTTATGGTTCAAAATTGAGCTCCTTCAGATTGCGACGGCCTGACTAGTCACTTGGGGGCACCATGACCCTTTTTGCGTCTAGGGGTTTTGGCTTTATGTTAGGTTCATTCCATAGTTCATTTTAGGCATGCTTATATATGAAAAACACCAAAAATTACCCAAAGGGCATCAAAAAATACAAAAAGCATACCTAAAGTCTATTAATCACACGTTGGATAATGTAATGAACTTTTAACATAAAATTCACCAAGAATGCGCCAATGAGGAATAAAATTATCCAGAATTGTTGGTAGAAATTTTCAATTTACAAGTGTCATAAAATTAACTCACACTTTAGGCTTGTTTGTCCCTAAGCAAGGACTAGGCATAATCATATAGCTTAATGAACATCAAAGGTGACACTTGACTTGAATCGTTGGTATTAGATCATAAGCAACTTACATGATAATCATTGCACGAGAGGACTTGACCACCTTAGTGAGCTACAAACCCCGTGAGGAAAATTGGCTCATCCTACTTTGTCATAATCGTAACGAACAAAAAAACTATCTCTTCTCTCGAAAGGGTTCTGACAAGGGGTTTTCTTCGCCGCTATGACGGCCTCTCAATCGGCTTTCGCTCCGACTGGAGAGGAGGTGACATGGGCATCTCTTTGTGACATCGCGTCGGAAAATAGGATGAAATATCATCCTCCAGTGCGGGTGAATGATGGTTTTCGTCTTCCCCAAGACGTGAAGAAGCGAGGTGAGGAGCGGTGGAAGGATTGCCTAATAGGGCAATTTATTGGTCCTACCCCGAAGATAGGTCTTCTTCGACATTGGGTGAAGGGTCTGCGAGGAATGGATGGAGTGGTGCGAGTGTCGCGGTTCGGTCCTCGACTTCTAGTATTTCAGTTTCCATCGGCAGCAACAAGCAAGTGGGTCTTTCAATCGGGATCGTGGAACTTCCAAGGTAACTAGATCTACTTTTGTAAGTGGACTCATAGAATTCAACTTGTTAGTCCCAAAGTTGAGGTTCTTCCAATTTGGGTTTGTATCTGAGGCATACGTTTGGACTACCATACATTTGAAGGTCTTGAATGGGTGTCCATTATTATTGGTCTTCCTGTTTGGATGGCTCAAACGACTAGGGAAGGGAATTAGTTGGGGTTTGCAAAAGTATGTGTAGACTTAACAGCTGACTGCGGGTTTCCTTCTCATATTCGATTTGTATCCGGATGATGATCCTTCTTTTGAGATTGAAATTGAATATCTCAATAAGCCATTGGTTTATCCTAGATATGAATTTTTATGGTCATGATTGTGAACGTCTGACTAGAAGTGGGAAGAAATGGATTCCTAAGGGGAAGATTGACAGTAAGGTTGAGGCCCAAATGAAAATTTTATTTGATAATATAGTGTCTGAAGCTCCTGAGTTAATTGGAAAACAAGTGGTAATCAGTGAGGAACATGTCATTGAGGATATTGGTATGTCTTGTACAAAGGATTTGAAAATAGAATTAGTTGGTGTGAATGTACAATAGCTTCTATTGTTGAGGAGAATGGTGTCTCTGTGGATCCTAATCCTTCATCAAGTGGGAGTCAGTCTGTGAGTTTTGTAGAGGAGGTTAAAGTGTTGCCAGTTAAAACCGGAAGCCCTAAAGCCCCTCCACAAGTGGTTGTTGGAGTTAGTTCACAAGATGTTGGGACTCGGGAAGCTACCTTCTCAACCTGCTCTAGATTATAAGGAACTACAGAGGAACCCTGGGATTATTGTAGGAGGAAACTCTTCAAAGAAAAAGCTGAACTCTCCTATAGTTGCCTCTGCTCCAAGAAAAGGGGTTAGAGGCAAACCCAAATGAAGTTGCTTACATGGAATACTAGGGGCTTTAAAGCCCTGACAAAAATGAAGAAGTACAGAAAATTATAGCTCTAGTAGAGCCAAGAATAAGAGAGGTAGATGAGAAGAAGCTGAGTAATGAGAGATTTCCTGGATGGGAGCCAGCTATGGCTACGAATGATGTTGGTTTCGGGACGTTGTGGTTATTTTGGAGATTTGATATCAAACTTAGGGTCTTGGATAAGTCAGAACAATTTATCCATGCTTTATTTATCTAATACGACCTATTTTCTCGGCCTTTCTCGCTGTCCATTCGCTTCCGACGTCTCGACATCCAAAATTCACCAT